AGAATACAAATAGCTCCCTCAAGCTTAGGAAATATAACTGGGTTTGATTCAATTCCACAAATCATTTTTGTATACAAAGCAATTACAAGCGAGTAGAATACCGAGAATATCAAGACCGCTTCCTAGTCGATCAAATAGATAGATAGGTAGAACTGGGTAGACAGTAAAGTTTCTATGGAAAACGCTTCCCATAATCAAGTGGCCTACAGTGAAGGGTATATTGTTAGCTCCTTCGCCTATTCCTCAGTACGATCGTTGCCCCCCACCTGTGCGCCACCATGACGCAGAGTGGTTGTTGTTCCTGTTGCTGTGATTGTGGTGCTGAGTGGCGCAGCCTGTGGCTACTGGCGCCAACACTGCTCCAAAGCAGCCAACGAATACCCGAATGAACGAACGAACGAACGATTGTCGTCACGCTGGAGGCCAATAGCAAGACCTCAACGCGTAGACAATTTGTCTTCAGTTGTTGTTGTTGTTGTTGGCGGCAAGCTAAAAGAGACGACGGATGCCCAGATCCAGACCCAGACCTCAGGCCCCAGGCCCCAGACCCATGCTCAGACCAACTGAACGCTGAAGACAGCCGAGCGAAAAAAATAAAACAAACGGAACGAACGAACGACTAAAAAAGGCATGAAGGAAGCAGTTAGTGCGGAAGAGCGGTGGAGACAGTGACGCAGAGAGAGAGAGGGAGAGAGAGACGGGGAATTGTTGTATCGGGGAATCAGCATCGGCATCGCGTCATATATCGCGCCTAAGGGTCTCCCGCAGTGTGCACAGTTGTATGTGTTGTTGTTGTTATTGTTGTTGGACTGGGAAATGGACTGCCGCTGCAATTCCGAAAGTAAAAGCATACTCTTAACAAGAAAGATGCCGCTCAAAAGAACACCACTCGTTGCCGTATTTACATTCCATTCTTAGACTGTCTTTAAACCATACTACTTGTATATTGCTATATTTTGACTATTATTTATCATCTCGTTGTTACTTAGGTCCAAAAAAACCAGCCTGAAGGCCTTCGTTGCTCTGGCTATACATATACTTTTTATATGTATCAAATTTTGTGATTTAGGATTAATTAAGTATTGTGCTCTTTACAAAAGATATGGCGCACATTTACGAAACAAATTTTGTTAATGTTAGCGAGTAGCCCGTTGCCAGCTGTGTGATATAGCTTATCGGTTTTATCGGATTTGATTAAGATATCTTCATAGAACTGTTTCCTACTGAGAGTAATTTTTACTCTGATCGCTCTCAAGCTATATACATGGGTAATGAGACTGTACATGGATAAGACTTTATGCCACGATTGTTGTTCCTAGCTGTTATGGTTCGAAAGTTCTTGATGTTCATACAGTCGAACAATCGAAAGAACTTGCGTAGATCATTTCGGTTCGTCTCGTCTTGTTGATCATATATGTGATCTCCATCTGCCCGTTAGGCGCATTTGGCAATAGACTCTCTACCCTTCACCCTTCGGGTACAAGGTATTTTTGAAAATGTTGTCTAATGCTGTCGTTCAACTACTTATTTCTAGTGTGGATTGTACTTGAATGCGTATAAGAATTGTTCTTTAGTTTCTTAAATCCAGTAAGAAGATATACAAAAAATTCGTTGGGATCTAGAACTCTACATTGTTTTAATTAAAGAATAATTAAATTGTTGGGATGTTTGACTAACCAAATTATAAATATTATAATTTCAATTTTTCGTGAATTATTGAAATGCAAGTTCTTCTCGAATTTTTTGATTGATTGCCTTTATTTCTAAGAACTCATATTGTACCTCCCTCTAATCCGCTCGTCCAATGTAAAGCGAAGATGCGCCAACTAGCCCAATTTGTTTTTGGCTGTTGTAGGGAGGGGGGCAACAAACACTTGCACTAGGACTTTCTTTTTAATAGGATTCCCTCCACAGCCAACCAATCTTTTCCAGAGTGTCTTTTCTGAGAGTATCCCTGCATTAGTTGGTTTAGTCTCTTGAATCTGTTCCGAATACGTCAAGCCAGGATTATGTTTCTGACTCCTAGGACTGACTCTCCTAGGAGGTCCGGTCCCTTACCCTTGGAGCAATTGGGCTGCTCAACAGTATTGGGCGAAACAGTTTCTTCAGAATCTCCTCCGATTACCTTAAGCCAGGAGTGTCTTTCTGACTTCGAGTCGCCCTCCTCTCTTAGGAGGTCCGGTCCCTTACCCTTGGAGCAATTGGTTAGCTCGTACGCGGCACGTCGCAAACAGTTGCAATCACTTCCATGACGATGCTGTGCAAATCGTGGGCTTTCTTTGATCTTCTCACAGTTTGCTGTCCTTAAATAAATGCAATGACGCCGCATCATACTATGGCATTTATTTATTTAGTCACACACGCGCTCGTTGCGTCACTTTTGCTTTGCGATTTGGCACAAGACGGGACGGGACGGGACGGGACGGGATGGAACGGGACTGGCTGTCTGTCGACTGGGCGTGGACTGCTACCAGGGACCGACCGGAGCGGAGCAGCCTCTTTCTGGGCGCTGATGCTGCCGGAAATGTCATAACCATAAATTTAATTTTTGATAATTGTGCGTGTCGCGAAGCGGTAATGGAACTTTAATTGAAACTCTTGAGCAAGTTTCCAGCACTTTATTTGTGGAAACATTTTGCCAAACAAACGAACAAACGCACGCATGCGAACCAAGAACAAACAACAATCTGCTAATACAAGTACTCGCATATCTCATTTGAGATATCGCTAATTTCTTAATAATTACCTGGCATTTTTGATATGTATTTACATTTAATTGTCGAGTGGAGATTGCTGGAACAGGGAACGTAGCTTCAATTTATACAATACTGCCTTGTTGATTCAAATACTAAACAAAAATTTTGGATGCGAATTGAGGGTGGCGCCACCTATATGTATATATTTCATTTAAAACACTGGAGGGCTTTTCCAGCTTCTAGTTACAATTAATTTAATTGTTGAACCAAGTTTATGGTGATGTTTCTTATTTCCTTCCAAGATTTCATGATAGGTTCCAGAAAGGTTCCACAAAAGCACAAATAATGTACCACATGTCACCCACAAGTTTCCATTTTAAACATGTTGGCTCACTGGAAGCTTAATAATTGCGTCTGAGGTGATTTGATTCAACGATCAGTCAAGATTTTCTATTTAATTGGTGTTTCAAAATACCATTTTTATAGCACTTGGACTACGGCAAGGTTTCGGTTTTGTACGAAAACCAAACAAATTCTCGGAATTCTCACAATTTTGATCAAATTTTTGGCGTAAAATTTAATTATGACTATTAATTAATAAATATTTGAGTGATTCGCTGAACCGAAATGTTTATCCTAAAAAGGCATTTTCTCATGATAAAAGTAATCGTAAAGTCATAAACCAACCTCCCGAGGGAAATATCCATCCAGCCATAAATATGCAACAGTTTTTTATCATTTTATTGGATACTGAAAATCTAGAATATTACAACTGGTTTTTCCTCCTTTTATAAAAGTCATTGCTGCTTTAGAGAGCAACCTGTATGTGAGAAAGTCTAATTTTCTTAAGCATATATTCCCCCTTAATAAATCGGCATTCGGGTGTACGAGTATGTATGTGGAAATGCCGTTATGGCTTACAGCATTTATTGTCATACTATTATTAGGCAATTGCCGTTTGATTCATTTGCGGCAATTAAGTGATAAACACAAGATGCAGCTCGTCCGTGCACCATGCAACCAGAGCAATCCTTCATCGGCTGCCGCATTGTTCTGTCGCCTCGCACGTCCGTCCCCGTGGGGTGTGTCCAAGTCGAAACAGACAAACACTTGCCGCGCCCTGATTGCCACATAGATTGAGGAAAAGAAACTACAATGCGCCACAGGCGGTAGGAGCGGGTTGGAGATGCCGCTAAGAACATAATTAAAAGCAAGGCTCAATTCCATTGAATTTTAAATAGAAATAAATAAATAATTCATTGTGTAAAATTACACAGAAATAATGACTATTCTGCCAATCCATAACATTTATTGACACTTTTTTATTTTTGGGTAAACTCATAAGCGAGTTCTCATTTCTCAATAAAAACAATATTAACAAAAAGATAAGAAGACTCTGCACTGAAACCCTAGTATGTTGTTGCTCGATTTACCATTAACTTAACATTAAAATCTCTCTTGCATTATAAAAGCAATTTTTAAAAAAATTCAATAATTAAATAATAATTAATTATACTTGTAGCATCGCAGATGCTTCCCTTCGCCTGTTATATACCTTTCATACTCTTATATACCTTTCATACTCTCGTACATGATGTAAAAATGTAAATCGGTCGGTTATTTTTTTTAATTACACTACTGCCGTCAAAATTCATTTAATCGAATAATTAAGAGGAACTCTTTTAATCTCAATTGGTACGCAACTACGATTAGCTCCACAAATATTTGAACATTATCCATTAAATAATCCTGGAAGGTTTAAGAACGAAAACTAGTAATTCTTAAAAGCCTAGGACTTCCTATATAGCAAGGGTAGGGATTGCGTCTATTGTTTCCTAAAAATCACATTTCGGGATTTATTGGTGAAACAACTTGATGATTAACATCGTACACGCGAAATCTATTAGTGTAGGAATTATATAAGAACCATATTCAATATTGTTCAAATCTAAGAATTTATAACCTCAGTTTGATGATTGATTGCTTTTAAAGTTACTGAAGATTTATTCATTTCGTCTAAAAAAAAATAATGAACGAAGAGATTGGCCAAAAATTCTCTTATATCGATTCCAAATATGTATCGATGCTTGAAAACCGCAACTGTGTAACACTTAATAGCCTTAATTTTCCAACACTGCTCGCACCTCTTACAACGGTGCTGCCATCCAACGCAACGGATTGACTGTTAATTTTTTTGCATCACACAATCAACTGATTACAAATTTTGGTTAAAAGAGGAACTTAAAACGGCAAACGACAAATTTGGACTGTCAAAAATAGTACAATTTGAGGTTCTGTAACATAATGGCACCACGGAATTCGCGACGTAAGCTGCGTTTGAGGGGCTATGCAATTAAACGTGCTCTGCAGAAGAATCGAAAATCCAAATCGATGGAAAAGCGTTCGATGGAAAAAGTGTCGCCAGTGGTGCCGGAACAATTGCGCTCCGCAGCGCTGCGCGTGCAGGCCCGCAGTCGAGCTCGTGAGCTGACACCAATCGTAGCATCATCGTTGGCGAGCCGTTCCTCTTGGAGGAATAATGAGCGCTCATCCAGAACCAACACTGAGCGCAGCTCCTCAACTTTCTCGTCTTCGCCCAAGCGGCGTGAGTTGATTTTCGATTTTCGCCGTGAGCGTGACGATAAGAATCGTGTTGAATTGGGGCGCGACAAGTCATGCAGTCGGCCACGCAGTCGCAGTCCGCTACGAAAGTCACGCAGCGGCAGCAAGATTGCTAATTTAGTGGAGTTCAATCGTGGTTTTTACGATGAGCATCCGTACACGAAGAGCCGCCACAGGAGCGTCATAAACGCCTATCGTGAGGAGCACGACATTTTTGTTCACATTAGCGGCGGGCACCGCCGCGATGCAATCTCGAAGGGATTGAAGCCCATTCTGAGCTTCTTGGAGGCACCGTTCTCGGAATATGTGCTTCACAAGCTGCGCCGCCAAAACTTTGACGGGCCAACACCCATTCAGGCCCAGGGCTGGCCAGTGGCACTGAGTAGCTCCAATATGGTGGGCATCGCTCGCACCGGCGCGGGCAAAACTTTGGCTTACATCCTGCCGGCTCTGACGCACATTAGAGCGCAGCCTAGTCTGCGCCGTGGCGAGGGACCCATCGCCCTGATTTTGGTGCCAACACGAGAGCTGGCCCAGCAAATCCAGAAGGTGGTCTTCGATTATACGGATCCGCACAAGGTGCGCAGCATCTGTGTCTTTGGCGGCTGCTCAACTACGGTTCAACTGAGCGCCATTCACCGCGGCTGCAAGATTGTGGTGGCCACGCCGGGTCGCCTCATTGATTTTCTGATCCAGGGCCAGATTAGTTTGAATCGCTGCACCTATCTGGTACTCGACGAAGCCGATCGTATGCTGGACATGGGTTTTGCGCCGCAAATCAAGCGCATCCTGGCGGACACACGTCCCGATCGCCAGATCCTAATGTGGTCCGCCACTTGGCCTCTAAATGTGGAGAGATTGGCACGCGGCATTATGAAGAGCTTTACGCTCATCAATGTGGGATCCCTGGACCTAACGGCCAACCCTAACATCACCCAAATGGTGGAAGTTTGCGAGGAGAAGGAGAAACTAATGCTACTGAAGAAGTTCCTCACCGAAATCTACGATATCAGCGACGAACCTGGCAAGATTTTGATCTTTGCGGAGCGCAAACGACGCGTGGACGACTTGGTTCAGTACATAGCCAGCTTCGATGTGCGCTGCGAATCCATCCACGGTGACAAGAGCCAGATGGAGCGTGACTTCGTTTTGCGTGACTTCCGGAACGGACTCTGCAACATTCTGGTGGCCACAGATGTGGCATCGCGTGGCCTCCATGTGCCCGGCATCAAGTTTGTTATCAATTACGACTTCCCCCACTCCACCGAGGGTTACATCCATCGCATCGGGCGCAGCGGACGCAGTAATACGAAAGGCACTGCCATCAGCCTCTTTACCATCAACAATGTCCGTTTGGCCCAGCCCCTCATCGAGGTGCTCCGCGAGGCCAACCAAGATATCAACCCTCAGCTGCGTCGTCTAGCCGATGTTTATAGCTCCAGTAAATGGCGTCGTCCGTTCGCAAGTCGGCGATAAGCATTACGCTCCAAAATTCCCAAACACACATACACACACACACACACACATATATACAATACTATATGCGACATGCCGGCTCAACTCAGATTGAAGAACTTTGTTAAATAAAGATTGACGAGCGCCTTTAAAAGACGCACGCCGAAGAGAGAGCAGTGGGAACTAAATACTTCTTAGTAGAACTAACATCTGGGTAGGGATCTGTTTCCCTGCTATTATTTAAAAAGCATTGTACATACATATATATTTCGTGTGCTTTTGAGCAAGGTAGGTTTTGTTTTTGCTGCTTGAGATGAATTCTTTTAGCTGCGCTCCTAGAGAAGAGAATTCGACACGCCGAGTCCACCTTCTCCTCCTAAATGAAGTAATCTGGTTTAGCGGTTTTAACTGAAAGATTTCGGGTTCGACAGTAAAGGAACTATATGTTAATAACTTAAACTGCATGTTCAAGTATCCGATAAATGAAGTAATCTGGTTTAGCGGTTTTAACTGAAAGATTCCAGGTTCGACTGTAAAGGAACTCTATGTTAATACCTTAAACTGCATGTTCAAGTATCCGACAAAAATGTTCGTTAGCAATATTCTCATCATTTTCTAGGCTCTTGAACTGATTGCAGTGATAGGAGGAGAGTTGTTCCAAAGGAATTGCCAGTATTGCCTTCACGTCTCAGAAACTAAAATAAAAGTGCATTCCTGAAGCTTGGTGGCAACTTTCATGTTCATGTTCATGTTGATGTTGATTTTCAGTTTAAAGTAGGCGGTCGACTCTCCGTCTGTTTATGGCGCCCATTGTGTAATGGCCGAATCGTGTGTGATATTTCTTTATCAATCCCAATCCAATCGTTTGCATCGTGACTGTGTCGTGCCTCTGCATACAATTTTATTGTGCCGGACTTTGGCGTTGTTGTCGCCATCGCCGCCATCGCCATCGTTGCCTTAATTGATTCTCAACTGCTCTTGTGGGTTCGTTTAACTTGGCTTACTTGACTTTCTTGGCATTTGGACCTTGCTTGGGAAACTCCTTTGCATACCAAGTGGTATGGATGGACGGTGAGTGCGTTGTCGCCTTTTAGAAGTTATTGCCACAATAAACAGAAAGAGCAATTGGCGGCGGAGACGTGAGACAATGCTGCAATTGTGAATTTTCGCTGTCTTTTTGCCAAATTGGTAACAGATTCACGCTTCTCCATATGGGAGTTACTCGAACTGCCGATTGGACTATAACTAATGGGCCAGACATCAGCCTGATGACAAGCTCATTTGTGTTTTTATAAGGAAGGGGCTCTCAACGATATTTTCTTTATAATTGAATAGTATCTGATTCTGATTTATATGTTTATTTGTTCTATTTATCAACTTTATTACTATTACAAAAAAGTGAGTTCTCCAATTGTTCCTAGATTATGCTGGATTATGGATTAAGAAAAAGTTCCTAATACCAAATTTAGTACAATAGCTAAGTAATTCAAAGTTTTTAATATTATAGTGCCTTCTTCACTATCACAGCGCTATAAAAAAAAATTTCCACTCTGCTAGAGTTGTAATGAACTTGATCTGCATATGGACGAGACAAACTCGTATAGCGCACACACATAAAGCATCTTTGTGCAAAATTTGAAGTCTCTATCTCTTATAGTCCCGGAGATCCAGGTGTTCATACGGACGGACAGACAGACAGGGCTAGATCGGCTCCTCTTGTAACGCTGATCAAGAATATATATACTTTGTGGGGTCTGCTACGCCTCCTTCTGCCTGTTACATTTTTCACCTCCCGCAAACCTAAGAGAGAACGCTACAGTCGAGCAAGCCCGACAGTGAAATACCCTAAACTCAGGTAAACTTCCGACACTGAGGTGTATTTCTAACCGTCCTGGTTCAAAAGTTCGTAAGGCTCATACAAATCATACATATACCTGTAATGACACGCCTTATTCTGTCCTTAATATATATCGAGAGGGGGCGGAAATGAAGCACCGTTCTGTGGAATTTTTTTTCTCATCTGTTGAACAGTTCCTACAACTTGGCTCCTCAGGCTATTACAGGAGTAAGGAATTATTTTCGGCTCGAAGGAACCCTTTCCCTTTCTGATCTAGAATATCCCCGTACCAACGCATATTTTGTGGAGGGTCTGCTGCCAAAACCGATCATACCCTTTGTGCACAAAACACGTTTGGGAAATGTCTGAGGGATTTCTTAAAATGCCAAGCACCATACATATAGTATAGTACACTCCTCGCATTACCAGACTGTCGCAATACATGCGAGTATATGTTGTTATTCAGATGTCGCCACTCCCCCAACTCAGTCGGCTCAGTCAGCTTTTCACACACTACCTACCGGTGATTTAGTTGTTGCGAGCAACGAGCAAATGAATCAAATTCATTAGCGAACAATTTATTGTTTTGTATTTTAAGATCAAATATCTAAGACACCTATCTATGTATCTACTCGTACACTCGTACGTGTGTGCTGCCCAGTATCTGTGGTGGCCACAGGTGATCAGTTCGGTTCAGCTGAGGAGGCAGGCTGGCAGCCGTCAGCCAAATGGCCAACTGGCCGGCCAACTGGACTAACAGATCGCAGCTGAGCAGATCAGCGGGCGAGGCCGTGTCTAATCCGATTTTGACTTTATTAACGGTGCAATTTGTACGACGACCGACGCCCGCGACACTTTACCATGCTTTGATCGCTCCCCGCCCATTCCCCTTCTTGGCCACACTCAGAAAAATGAATGCTTGTTCTTGTTATAATATAGAAAATATTCTGAAATTTAGAAATGGTTCCTAAAGAATGCTTTTCTTAAATGAAAAATTAAAAACCGACGAAACACATTTGCTTTTCCCCAAATTAGGGTGAAATCTTACTAATTACGAAATGACTATATTTTTTTCAAGTTCCCAAAAAAGGCTTTTCTAAAATTTAGAAAATCACATATTTTTTCTCAAATTAGAGTGAAATTTTCCACTGTATTTAGCAATACATAGCATTCTAAAAATGAGAGAATCTTTCCTCTAAACCCAGAAATTGGTGTTCCTTAATTTAGAGAAGCTTTGTTAACATAACACTTTTGAATCGATTGCAATCTAAGAGTCATGGAAACATTCGTACTCTTTGGATAGAGTAAGTTCTGAGATTTGTTTGGTTATTAGTATTAGTTAGAATACCCATGTGATTTTATTTATAATACGAGTGCAAGAAAATTTAGAAGTCAATCAAGAGTCCGTTACAGCATTAACAGATTCTCATCCGATATAATCGATATCTTCGCAAAATGGTATCGATAAGGAGTATCGATATCGATAAGAAGTAATTAAATGCCGATTTTTGGAACATTTTCAATTTTGTTTTAATTTTATTTTTGCTGAGTGCAGCTATTTCTGTTTTATGTGCCAACTTGAATAACAACAACAAAAATATGCGCGCCAGCTCGCAGTTATGCGATTATTATTTATTGCTGTGAGTTCAGCAGCAACAACAAAAACAACAACAACAACACGAGTGGCGGCAACACAAATTGTATGCTAATCGCTCGACCGAACAAGCCAGAGCCAGAGCTTGGCAGCCAGGCAGTAAAAGAGACTTGGAAGCTTGGAAGCTGGGACTACTGGGCAGCAGCTGCTGCCGCCGCTTATCGGCCAAGTTGGTTTATGGCCAAAAGTTGCCGCTATCCGTGTGGTGGTGGTTCGGTTCGTGTGGCTCGTGTGGCGAACAAGGCTTGGCCTTAGACCCCCTCTTTATGATTGTTGCTGTTGCTGTTGCTGTTATTGTTGTTATTTTTGTTAGTCTTGTCTGATTTATGGAGTGTTGCTGACTAATTTGAACTTCTGGGTGTTAAAGTTCTTGTAAATAGTGACCGATCGCTTCCATCCAAAACTATTTTCGGTTTTTTTTTGTCTCCGCCCACTCACCTAGCTGGAGACTTTTAAATCCGTTTGTCGTTGCCGTCGCGACAGTGGCCCGTGAAGATCAAGATCGAGCTGCTAATGTGTGTGATTTGTGTTGATCTATCTATCTTTGTATATATACTATACTCGTACTTGTATGCATGATCTATTTTTAAGCTCCATGGGCGCATTTTCAATTCCCATCTAATGCATTCTTGTCTCGTCACCATTGCCAGAGTTCATCAGTGGGAAATGGAAGGGAATTTCTTATGTATATCATATGCTCGTATCTAAAATAGAATGTCTCAAAGGCGTGCTGGTGATTCTCCAAAGAAAATGTGTTGGGGATATAGACAGCTTCGTCGAAATCTTCAAGTCATATTATATCTCCATAAGTTTAAAGTCTCTTACTCAAAGGGGCCGAGCTCTATCCGAACTCGAAACCTGTAGATTGTTGTCTGAGGCATTCTTTAAATCTCATATTCGAATGTTAACTGTGCCGTTTAAAACTATACTTAAAGCTCCTTCATATTCATATTGTCTAGATTTATTTCTAGAAACTAAATGTTATATATGCAATATAAATACAGAACAAATTCGTTTAGATAAAGCATAAAATAAATTTTAGCCAACGCTAATGGGAATTGATTAACAAGTTCAATACTAAAACAAATTCCAAATTCCAAGAATTACAGGAGTTAAGGAAAATCACTAATAGCTGCGGAGTGGGAGAAGAAGGAAGGTTTTAAAATCTAGGTGTTCTAGGTGTTTGCCACGCCTCCCTCTGCTTGTTACAATTTATCCATTTCATGTAGAACTTGTAAATACCATAAATCGATCATTATTTCCATATCTTGTATAAATTTTTTCAATGAAAATTTCTTGTAAATGTTAATTTAAATTGGAAGCTGTCAATTAGAATCTGCTAGACATTTTAGAAAGTGAATTTGTCGACGTTTCTTTGGGATTCATAGGCCTATTCTCGTTTCCGATTTCGATTAAATTTGTTCCTGTTTTCCAAACACGATCGACTAATCCAATTTCAATAGTTCTTTCTTTTAAATAAACAAATAAACTTAAGAATAGAAACCATGCTATAATATTGAAGAGGAATCTCCACAATTCAACGCCATATAAGAATGTGGCATTAAAGCT